AAAACAAATCCGAGCTGTCTACACTGGCCCTTTTGCGCAAAAGCTTTGCGCAAAAGGGACTTTTGCCCAAACGGTAGCAGCATAGTATTGCCGCAAGAAGCATTGATTTCTTACATGAGATTGTCAGTGTTCTTGCGGAAATTCAAGCAGCCAGTGTAGACAGCTGGCAAGTAGCTGCTTTTGCGGAAAAACTTGCCAGTCTAGACACAGCCTTAAGAGTTTGGCTCAGGTCATGGTCAATAATTGTAAATGTCTCTGCCATCAAGTCAGAAAGGACTTTACCTTCTGTTATTTACTAATTGGAAGAAGTGTTCTCTCAAAATGGAGGAGCCTTCAGCAGGGCATTCTAAATATAGTAGTTTTACACACTTAGATTGTTCAGTAGAATAGCAGTTTTCAACCAGGAATCCAGGAGTCTCCAGGACCCTGTGGCAGAATCCCAGTGTCCTGAAACTAAATCTGAGAGCAAAGCTAGGGAGGGGGCAGGTGGACTTAGGAAGCAGTGTCCACAGGCAGGGAGGGGTAAGGAGAGAACCACAGGGGAGACCTCTGTTGGCACACAATCCCCCCTGCACAAGGCCTCCCCCCCACAAAGGGTTTGTTTACACTGGGAGAGGAAAAGTTTAGAGTAGCTAGTACATACTTCTATAGAAACACTCAAGGCTTCCTGTGTGAAAGGCCAGCTAATAGTATACATTTAAATAAAATCATTTAAAGTTACCATAACATGTTCTATAAACAAATATAAAATGATACAAATTTCATATAAACACTCATATGTACACTTTGGTTACCAACTCTATGGTTTACGATATTACAATGAGCTGTACCTGCCTATGAATGCAAGCTATTTAAAAAAAAATGCACCAATACTTAGTGACCAGAGCTATGTTGCTCTTCTTTAAAGTGGAGATCAAGACATACGTGTCTCTTGTCCTGTCAGCCACATAAGGAATAGGGTTAAGTAGTTCCAGCAGTGAAAAAGAGTTTCTAAAGTTCTTGCCTCCAGCTAGCACCTCTTTTGTGCAAATTAGGTCCCCTGGATTTGGGATCTGCCATCAAATGCAGTGAGATCTTCATGTTTCTAGTTGTACAAATGCAGCGTTAGTATTTGGTTTCCCACTTAAAGATAGGAAATAAAGCAAAACTAAACCCTACATTATACACAGCCTACAACAAAGGCACATGGAGAGGAGCAGACGAATAAACAGGGTAGCCAAGAGGTGGGTCTGCTGCTTGCACTGTTAGGTTTCTCAGAAGAACGGGGTGAGCTTGTATACTGTAGCGTTCTTCATCATCATTGGTAGCATACAGCAGCTCCCACGAAAGATTTGCCCATTGACCTCTGACTGCTTCGTCGTTGAGCTTGCCAACCTGCACTAACAATTCCTGAAGAGTAAGCACTCTCCCAGTGTAAACTCCCTTTGAAAGCAAAAACAATTAACTTTCAGTATATCATCTAATAAGAGTTCAGAAAAATATAAAATGGGAATAACTAACATTCTGGGTATTGTCTTTTTAAAACTGCCTCTGTCATAATTTTAGTAACTGGAGATTTTCAACACTGCAGTGCATTGAACCAAATAATGGCACATGCACTGCTCTTCTTAGTTCGAGTAAGAACAAAGGGATATAGGCCTTTATACTATACTGCTGCATATAATTAATTAGAACTGTTGACTCTAGGCCTTTATACTATACTGCTGCATATAATTAGAACTGTTGACTCCTGAATGGCTGAATTCTTGAATATCTCCATGTGATAGTTAAATGCTGCAGCATCTGTTTTACAGCTGTCTAGCAATTTCCAGCAGTACAAATGCCAGATTTTGTCAAGTACTCACTCATTCTTTGGATGTTAATTTCTCTGCAAAAATAATTAAAATAATACATAGTGGGGAAAAAACAATGTTGCTCATTATTATTTTTTCCCCCTTCGCTTACCATGTTAAGATCATGTCCCAAAGAGAAAAGGTACGGCTTTTCTTGTAAAACTGCTTGTTGCCACTCAAGATCTGATACTAAGCCAATGTACCAGTCACTTTCATATTCTTCCAGATAGTTAATCAGCTCTTTGAAGTTCTCTACTGGACCCAGACTTGCTTTATCAACCATGAGCTTAAATGTATATCTGAAAGATTTGCAATAGAATGCATAGAATAAGTACACACTTCAGAAAGAGGGACAAAGCAATTATCAAAAGCAATGTAGCTATGATAATCCACTGACAGGTTGTTTCAATTAGCTCAAATGCTGGCATTGATAATGGAAAATGCAAAATATGTTCTTCCAACAGTGTTGTGCTATGATTTATAATCTGCATGGTTCTTTATTTACCTGAATGCTTTCAGTGCTAGTTGGAACAGCTCTGGTTTTCCAGTTAGCCAATCCAAACCAACACACCATGGAATGCCACCAGTGTATGCTCTGAATACATGAGTAGGAGTGGGAACAGTATTGTCTAATCCAAACAAACCAAAACAACAAGACAATACACCATGGATGTACAACTCTTTCAATGCTTTGTCTTTAGTAATGTCTTCAAGTAAAGTGGAAGGCTTGTCTTTCAAATGAAAAAAATCCAGTTGACTCAAAACAAAATGGTACCAGTCTTCTGGAAACCTCTGCCTCATCTCTCTGAGTTTGGAAGTAGGTATGGGTGCAGTTCTCCACTCCTCCGGTATACTTAGTAACTCAGAGTAAGAGCAGCTAAATTCAACTAGAGGTAAGCTTTCAACTTCTTGCCTCTTCCCTTTGTCTACTGCAGGGAGTCCCAGCACAACAGCTTTGTAGAGTTTTTCTGCAGGTGCTGTCTCTTGCAGAGCACCAACTGCACTCTGCAGTTCTACCGATCCTGGAATAGATGGAAGTGTTCCTGGTGCAGTTTCTAACAGCTCGGTTTCTTTTCTTTCTCTTGTTCTGCTGGGCTCAAGATCAAAAAGATCACTATCATCTGTCCAATCCACAACTGTACCTACACTTAAGGTATCTTCATCCTTTATGGGCCTAGGTTTTTCTACTGTACTGTTAAATGTTTTGGTCTGGGCTAATGGAAATGACCCTTCTTTGTTCTTTGTTGTTTTGTCCAGCTTCTCACACATTTTTGATTGTTTATAGCAATACTGGACAAGCATCCATATAAGCACTTTAATCAAATCATCTTTCAGTTGCTTTAAGTTCTCATGTGAATCAATGATTCCAGACAAGACGCTCCTGGCATCAGAATATAATCTCACAGGTAGAGCTGTACAAGGGGTTAAAATGTTTCCAAAATGAAGATTGAGTGTGAAAGTCTCTGCATGATCCTGGCGTTCAAAGGCCATTTCAAAAACTTCATCCACTCTGTGAGCTTCTGCAGTGTGGCAGGAAGTTTCCTGCAATTCTAGCCCCTATAGCACAAATGGAAACAAGTCATCTTAGCATTGCTTGTTGTGACAAAGAGCAGATAATTTTTTTTATACAAGAAAATAGTATTCCCAGCAATTAGACACTTCCATTTTAATAATTTTGGTACCAATGGAGTGAAGATTTTTTTATAGCACCCATTTTACTCAGACCACAATACTATATTCAATACACAAATCTGAACTTTCTTTAGAACACTGCATTTTATTAATCATGTTACCTTTGCTTCTTGAAACAATAGTAAAGAATAACATTGTCAGACACACAGAAGAACATAATTTGTTGGGCAAAAGTCAACATGGTTTCTGTAAAGGGAAATTATGTCTTACTGATCTATTAGAGTTCTTTGAAAGGGACAAACATGTGGATAAGGGGGATCGAGTAGATATAGTGTACTTAGATTTCCAGAAAACCTGTGACCAGGTCCCTCACAAAAGGCTCTTACATAAATTAAGTTGTCATGGGATAAGAAGGAAGATCATTTCATGGATTGAGAATTGGTTAAAAGACAGGAAACAAAAGGTAGGAATAAATGGTAAGTTTTCAGAATGGAGAGGGGTAAATAGTGGTGTTCCCCAAGGCTCAGTGCTAGGATCAGTCCTATTCAACTTATTCATAAATTATCTGGAGAAAGGGGTAAACAGTGAGGCGGCAAAGTTTGCAGACGATATTAAACTGCTCAAGATAGTTCAGACCAAAGCAGACTGAAGAACTTCAAAAAGATCTCACAAAACTAAGTGATTGGGCAACATAATGGCAAATGAATTTTAACATGGATACATGTAAAGTAATGCACAATTGAAAAAAATGACTAACCATACAAACAGTATGATGGGGGCTAATTTAGCTACAACTAATCAGGAAAGAGATCCTTGAAGTCATCACGGATAGTTTTCTGAAGATGTCCACACACTGTGCAGCGGCAGTCAAAAAAGCAAACAGGATGTTTGGAACCATTAAAAAAGGGATAGAGAATAAGATGGAGAATATCTTATTGCCCTTATATAAATCCATGGTACACCCACATGTTGAATACTGCATACAGATGTGGTCTCCTCATCTCAAAAAAGATATACTGGCATTAGAAAAGGTTCAGAGAAGGGCAACTAAAATGATTAGGGGTTTGGAACGGGTCCCAAATGAGGAGACATTAGAGACTAGGACTTTTCAGCTTGGAAAAGAGGAGACTAAGGGTGTGTCTAGACTACAGAGTTTTATCGACAAAAGTGGACTTTTGTCGTCAAAACTATATCTGCGTCTACACTACCGCTGAGTTCTGTCGACATAACGTTGACAGAACTCAGCAGTTTTGTCGACGCTGGTAAACCTCATTTTACGAGGCATAACGCCTTCTGTCGACAGAGTTTCTGTTGACAGAAGGTGTTATTGCATGTAAACTGTCCTTTGCGTCTACACTACCATGTCGACAAAGCAGCTTGCTTTGTCGACAGAACTGAATGTAGTGTAGACGCTCTTTGTTGACAGAAGTTTTGTCGACAGTATCTGTCGACAAAACTTCTGTCGACAAAAGCCAATAGTCTAGACGTACCCTAAGGGTGGATATGATAGAGGTCTATAAAATCACGAGTGGTGTGGAGAAAGTGAATAAGGAAAAGTTATTTACTTGTTCCCATAATATAAGCACTAGGGGCCACCAAATGAAATTAATGGGCAGCAGGTTTAAAACAAATAAAAGGAAATTCTTCTTCACATGGCGCATAGTCAACCTGTGGAACTCCTTGCCAGAGGAGGTTGTGAAGGCTAGGACTATAACAGGGTTTAAAAGAGAACTAGATACGTTCATGGAGATTAAGTCCATTAATGGCTATTAGCCAGTATGGGTAAGGAATGGTATCCCTAGCCTCTGTCAGAGGGTAGAGATGGATAGCAGGAGAGAGATCGCTTGATCATTACTGATTCAGTTCACTCCCTCTGGGACACCTGGTATTGGCCACTGTCGGCAGACAGGGTACTGGGCTGGATGGACCTTTGGTCTGACCCAGTATGGATGTTCTTACAGAACAACCATATAATTGTGTTGGTTTTTTTTAAGTCTTGAGCCACAGGATGAGTGAAATACAATACTTAGTAATTCATTAGATTTTTTTTCAACTTCTATTTCAGGGGTTCCCAAACTTTTTACACGGGGACCAGTAAATCCATTCACGAGCTTTTGGAGGACTGGTAACATTCATTTGCATATTTATTAAGCAAGTGATGAATAGTCAAATAAGTTGTTTCTGATCCTCCCAAACCCCCCAGTGCCAGCTTTAGCAAAGCTTTTGATATGGTCACCCACAATATTCCTGCCAGAAAGTTAAGGAATATGGATTGGATAAATGGACTATAAGACAGACAGAAGGCTGGCTAGACCAGGGTTTCCCGAACTTTTTACTTTAGTTGGAACCCATTTTTTTCAGTACTGTTTTATGCAGCCCAAAAATATAAACACATATTAAAAAATGAATACATTTTCACTGTTTCATCTGGCTGCATCCTCCACCCAGCTTGGGCTTGGGGAACCCGGCCCTGCACAGGCATGCCGGGAGGCGGGAGCAGGAGCAGGAGCAGTCTGGGGGTAGAGTATCTGGCTAGGAAGGAGGATGCAAGGAGGGGTAGGGTTGCCAGGGGTCCAGTTTGTAGCCGACAGTCCGGTGTTTGAGGCTTTTGTCCAGGAAACAAACTGAGAAGATACCGGACATATAACAGGTCTGGTATTTTCTCATTAGGTAAGTTTTATTATTATTAGGTGTATCAGTTTGTAGTTGCGAACTGCATGGCTGGTAGATATGCTCAGGCTGCGAGTGTGTCTACCAGCCAGACAGTTCGCAACTACTCGAGGGTGTGTGTTTGGGGGAGGGGGGGGAACAGTAGAATCTCCGGTCCGCACTAACGCGTGCG